CTTTAATGTTCCAGAGTCTGGAATGTAAAGATCGTATAAGGCACAACACTTGTTTGAGGCTTCTGAAAGAGGGGAGGCATCCACTCTGTCTGTTTCTGCATTATACACAGAATACGCAAGTCATGCCCGATATCAAAACAGGATGGTGCTCTGATAACGATTATCCTCACATTCTAGTGCTTGAGCAAGTTACTCCCCTGTAAATGCCTTTTTTACAGGAAGCATGTAGTCTGTATGTTTCGAACTTCATGAATGAGCTGACTCTTAATAAGAGTCATGAATGAGCTACCTCTAAATAAGTGCTGGAAGCAACAGGTCCCCATTACTCAGTTGGAGAAACTTCATGAATGAGCTGACTCTTAAGGGCTGCGCTACCTCTAAATAAGCACTGGAAGCAACAGGTCCCCATTACTCAGTTGGAGCTTTGGGCTTTATTCCAAGAGATACTGTGAACCTGCATCCTCACACATAAGATAGGCCAGTAATTTCAGACATCAAGTTGCGTAATGAAGACTGAATTCTAAAGACGTTCCAACAGTGAAGAGGGGAGCAAAGTTACTCAACTTAGTCTGAAGAAGAGTGGCATCTTCCTGAAGTGACAAAGAAATGCCACGTGAGAGCAAAATATGTTCCTGTGGATCCAGTGACGAATACAAGCAGCCTTTCAAGGGTGTTGAAACATCAGTTAAGCACAGCACCACCTCACATTCACAACTCCTTTCCACTTAGACCTCAGTTAAAAGCCCCAAACCTTTCATAATCAGAAGTATTCATAGAGGGCTGCTTTAGCAACCGTTAGACTAACCGAAAACACACTAACCTCTAGCTCCCAACACACACAGCCACCCTCCCCCGGACGTAACGGTGTGTTCTGCAGTGTCAGTTTTCTCACATTCAGTAAGTACAAAGGTTACCCAGGAACAAAGGCTAAAGGCTTTATAAAATTAAACATTAGCTCAACTGCTAGCATACTTTAAGACTAAGATCACCGCTTCCGAAGACAGAAGCACAAGTGGCAGAACGCACCATACGGGCTTATTCTTGCTTTCAGCGGATCTTCGTTCCAGGCAGTCTCCAGGGTTAGATGAGGTCAGGGTTACCCAGCAGCGTTCTCAACAGGCTACGCTTCGGCTAGCCGGGGCACCCAGGCGTCCTTGGGAGATACAACCCACAAACACCACCCCAGATGGCACGCCTGCACGGTCCGGACCT